TCTCGGTGAATACCCCACACCTTTACCGGTGTTTCATCACCATGGTGTAGGCCCGCAGCTACAGCGCTTCGAGGCCTGGTTACCGTTGGGTTTTAGGGCTTCAGATGATATATTAGATACCCAAAAACCAGTAAGGATACCCCGTTAACATGTATGCTCGCCATGTAGATAGGTTTCCATCTTTGTTCAAACCGCAACCTTCTGGTTGTCTAGCGCTTAAACTAGACTTTAGTATTGAACTCTATTACCTCACTTTGCCAGGCAGAACGAAGCCCTCCACGCCGGGGGAAGTCTTTCAGACATATAGATCATTTGGATTCATTTGCGCCATAAAAAGCACACACTGTTGGACCCAATGATACAGAGTTGCTACCAATATTTAATCCAACTATATAAATTGTATTCCAATGACAACCAGAAGTAGATTTTTGACCCACCAGAATCTGGTACCAGGGGTGTTGAGGGTGACCAACTAGACCACTCAGTTTATCGGTTAGAGATGGTTAGAGTATATGATCAAAATCCAGAATTCTTAGTTGTGAAATCACACGAATCCTAAGGGTGTTATACAGTTTACGACCATACATTCCTTGACTTGCCAGTTTGTACAAACCATTTTGGTTGTTACCGACTTATTTTGGCTCAAGCACTGTTAAAAGGGCGCTGCCTTGTGCTTGGGTGCATCTTGACTAGTTCCCACGTAAGGCTGTATCGTGGTTGAACTAACTGGTTAACAGCCTCAGCTTCACATAAGCTAATTCCATAAACTTGTGGTCCCCAAAGCTTGAGCCCCTTTGGTTGCCACACCCCCACCGCCTGTGGCACTAACTTTTCTAATAGACCCACAATCGAGTTGCAAAGGGTCTAGGATTGTTCGTCCCACAGACGTGTTAATCAGACCGGTCCAGGTCTCGCCAAGTGAAGAAAAGCCTAAGCTTCTCTGCGAAGGATTGCTTGGTGCTGGGCAGGGAGTTGCGATCCAGTGCAACACTGCCATTGGATAGGATCCGAATTCCATAACCCTAACTTCAATAGAGGTAGCTCCTTGTAATTGTGTGTTCGCACGTTCAAGTGAGTGATATATTCCGGGGTGTTTGCGATCCACTGCAACACCGGACCAAATTAGACCAATCCCATACTAGTTTGCTTGGTAGGTTAGACAACCAGTGCTCCTCGGACTTTCCTTAGGAATCTTTGAGTGTAGTCCCAAGCATAAAGAGGAGAAAATCCATAACGTCCAAGAAAGGTGGAACAAGTGCTTCATTTGTGCATATCAGGCTCAAAGAGTTCAACTCATTTGACCGCACCTGTTCCATATCGCCATTGACTAGTGCTCGGTGCCCGTTGATGCAAAGGGATCGCACTCCTAGAAAGGGTGCGCAACTTGTCAGCCGTTTCGAGAAAGTTCGCAGAGAAAAGAGAGGCGGAAAAGTGTTCAAGCGCAGGTACAAGAGTATTTGCCTGCAGGTGCTTGAGTACTTCATGGGCCTTCTCGAGTTCGTGGTGTACCACGACCAGTTTGATCCTCGTGACAGGAGGAATCAGATTGTTCTCAGGCGCCTTCGACAGGCTGAGGAGCAGCATCAACGGTGCAAGCGTGATATCCTGCCATTGAGGGATAGGCCTTTGCTGCCCAGACTGCCTCGACATCCATATCAGCCGTTTTTTGAAGAGGTTCAGACCGATTCAGAATTTGCAGAGACTGTTTGGATTTCGTCCGAATCGGAAGGGGAAGACGTTCCATCGGGTATTTGGGCAGACCCAGCTTCGACTGCTCGTTCGTCATCGGCTAGTCTTGGAGCTGTATCAAAGGCCAGACCTGCCATTAGACCAGCTGTGCCCAAAGCCAATCCTGTGGTACTTAGACCAGCTGTGCCTAAAGCCAACCCTGTGGCACATCAACCAGTTGTGCCTAAAGCCAATCCTGTGGTACATCGATCAGTTGTGCCTAAAGCCAATCCTGTGGTACTTCGACCGTCAACAGCAGCGGCATCAGGGTCATCGGCGTCATCAGGGTCAACAGGCCGTGGAAGAACCACTCCACGACCAGTGTGGGAGGCTTGGGATCAGGCTTTTGCTGGAACTGTGATCACACCATCGGAGCCAAGAGTGAAGTTCAGTGGACAGGTAATTGTGAGTTTGGACTGGCATCAAGTTTTGGACATCAAGCGTCATTCTCGAGGAACTGACCGTCCATCGCCTCCATACACATTGTTACCTGAGTACGAGCAGCTCATTCGAGGTTTGAAAGATCGTGGTGTGGCAGTTCTGGTTTGCTCTTACACCTGTAGTCCAGTGTACCGAGATCAAGTCCAGAGCCTGTCGTGGAAGTATCCAGATTTGTTTAACCACGTCATTACCACCGAGAGTCGTGGTCGTGAAGGTGGGAAACTGTCAGCACTTCAGACAATCACGCATTTCGGCTCTTGCCACGTGGTGCATTTCGACGATTCAGACGAGGTGTTAGACGAGCTGGAACGGTATCGGGAGTATCGTGGTTGGCCGGTTGGAAATCCGGTTGGAATCACTGCTGTAGGGATCAAAGTGCCCCGCAAGCCACAGTGCCAAGGACCTCGATATTTCAAGAATCTTGGTGACGCACTGGCTCAGTTGGACACGGATCACCTCAGTAGACGACTGGCAGAGTTCATCCTTACCCGACGCACAGTCTGATCTCGTGGAGAGTTGCGATCCAGTGCAACGCCACGTTGAGGGGTGAGTTTCTTGGACCTTCTGCCGAAGGTGAAAAAGAAAGGCCAGGGATTTACCTCGAACCAAGAAGAAGAAATTCAAAAAAAAAACACTAAACCTTAGCGGTACCAAAACGGAAGCTCAAAAACTCTAAAGTGTTTGTCTTTTTGGTGAACCCCAAGTTATTTGGAGTGCAATTTTTGCCAGCGTTCTCATTTGACAATGCCGCCAGTATCATCAGTATTGGGTTCAATGGAGCCTTCAGCCAATGACTCAACGGAATCATCTCTTCAAATATCTAGCAGTTCGCCGGATGGAATTCCATCTAGGGCATTGCAGGTACAAGTAGCATCAGCAATTCAATCGGAATCCAGTGCTAGTTCACAAACTCCGAGTCATGCTGAGCCACTTAGAAGGAACCGTTCCAGGTCAAGGGATAGTCCATATGAAGGGGGTTCCCAGCAGCTTGTCTCGTCCAGGAGTCAAAGTGGAAGCCGTGCAGAATCGCCATTGTCCAGTCATCGAGGCCCAGGTTCATTGACAGCCTTGGAAGATAGACAGGGTAGTGGGGGAGGATTGCCACCAACTGGTCAACCCGTAACACTTGTAAGACAACATGATCAAAGATCGGTTATTCGTAACAGGCATCAGCATGTGCAGGCACAGGACCAAAGGTCAGTTCATCAACATGTGCACCAACATGCTTATGATCAAAGATCGATGCAAGTTCAAGTAGGGATGGATCCGGTAGCAGTTATCCAACATGTCCAGGGAGTTGAAAGACATGCTCATGCGGCCATCCATGAAGCTCGCTCGGAAGTGACTAGTACCCAAAGGTTGGCTGATCAGGCTGTTCAGAACATTGTCCAAGAGGCAAGAACCCACGTTTCGGAAGTCCAAGCTCAGGCACAGGTTCAGGTTCAGTCAGTTGAGACCAGAGCCCAAGCCATTGTGAGTGACATGGAAACAAATTATCAAAGGGAAATTGCTCAAATTCAAGACATTGCTCAAAGAGCATATGAGGATTCGCAACATCGATTGTCGCAAATGGAGGATCGCAATCGTGAACTTCTTGCAATCATTGAATCACAATCCCAAGCGCTGGAGTCACAAAGGGACGAACAGCGAAATCTCATGAACCAAGTGGGATCCCTTCAGAGTGAAATCACCATGCTTAGGCATTCGTCGGCCCAGTATGATGTACCGATTCAAGACCAAAATGGCACGGTTGATGTTTCAGGGTTGATGCAAATGATGAATTCACTCAAGGATGAAATCAAAGTATTGAGGGGTAAACATCCAAGTAAGAAGAAACATGAGAGCCATGTTGATAGCAGGGTTGCAGTGCCACCAGAGCCGGCTCAATCGGCTTGTGCAGGATATCCGCCATCTCAGGAACCTAGTCCAGCACATTCGATGCATTCGCGTCATTCGAAAGAGCCCCAAAAGCCAAATGCTGCACCACAGATGTTTTCGCTTTCAACATATAGTTACTTGGGGAATGCTTCAACAATTGAATTGCCAGGAAGTTCAACCCAAAAGGGACTCGATCCGCCACCTGATGACTCATCCTCGTCATCTTCATCGACCAGTGATCGGCATGGAGGTGGAGGGGGATCACCTGATCGTGGAAGGGGATCACCTCCGAATGACAGTCCAGCATCGTCCGGACTTGGGAGAGTGAGAGGAGATCGAATCAATCCTTCAATTGGTGTAGGGTCAGCGGTAATCTTTGATGAGTCAGTGATTTATAAAGCAAAGGATTTGAGTTTGATCAAAATAGAAACCATTCCAGTTGATGCAGCTCAATATCGTGGATGGAAGAACGCTTTCCTGACAAAGGCATCATCCATTGACAAAACAGGACAGAGCCAGATCCTTCAGTGGTTGCTGCAGGCGTTTTCTCCAGACGTAACGAGAGAAATGTTGATTCTGACGTCAGCTGAAATGCCAAGATTGGATGCTCATCTTGCAAGTGTTTTGATGGAGGCCAAACACCTCAAAGGGGAGTTAAATTGGGCTTACAATTTCAAGCTTACACAGAATCTGAGCAGATGAGAGGGAGGGCTCCTTTGGGAAGAGTGTTGTTGAACATGATTGCAAGACGCTTTTTCCTTGATCAAAGTCGTGGTGCCAATCTCACTCAGCAAAGTTTGCTTGAACTTGAAGTCACTCAATATACACCTGAAGGACTGAGTAGCTTTGTTGATCGGGTAGAGTATGTGCTGAGTTCGATTCCACCGGAGTTGCAGCCATCAGAAATGACTCGTTACACTTGGCTATACTCACGTATGCGTAAGGTAAGAGTGATGCAAAGACACATTGACAAGATCCGTGATTCCAGAGTCGGTTCTCACTGTCGTACCTATGACTGGCTTTTCGGAAAGCTCAAGACGTGCATCAATGAGATGAAGGAAGACCAGAATGAAGAGGCAGTGCGCAGTTCGCTTCAGAAACGACTCAAAGACAAGGACAAGGACAACAAGCCAAAGCCAAAGGCCGCGGCTGCAACGACAAAGTCGGAAGGTACACAAGAGGAGTCCAAAGGACTTCCAAACCCGAAGGCCAAGGCAAAGCCAAAAGCCACTCAGCCTAATCCAAAGGAGAAAGGTTCTGGGGAAAAGGGTAAGGGTAAGAAGGAGAATAAAGGCAAAGGTCCGGGTCAAGGAGAGGAGACAAAGTCAAATCCCAAGCCAAAGGCTGATCCGAAGCCAGACAAAGCACGTGTAGATTGTCTGTTCTGGGGAAAGGGTTCATGCAACCGTGGTGATGCATGTCCATTTTACCATGACCCAGCCAAGAAGGCGGCGGCAAAGCCAAAACCTTCGCCTTCGCAGCCCTCTGCATCAACCGCCAAAGCTGCTGTCGCGACCATAGCTTCGGTTGGAAATCTTGCATCATCGAGTGCGTGTTCCGTTGCATCCAAAGGGTCAACATCTTCCATGGGAAAATCCTTGATTGGAAGGTTCATGCAGTTCGTTGCCACTTGTGTATCAATGCTCACTGGTGCCCATACGCCGCAGGGGTTTGCCTCCGTGGCAACACTGTCGGCAGCACCAGCCGTTGTCCATCACCATAATCATGGAATTGCAATGAGTGCCAAAGCAGCTGATCAGTATTCACTTGAATGGATTGCAGACTCAGGGGCAGGCCGTGATCTCACATCGCATCGTGCTTTGATTGAGCAGGGTGTTCCGAATGCTGTGATTCAGAAACAAACTCAATCCGTAAATCCAATCAAATTTGAAACTGGAAATGGCACGGTAGTGAGTGATTCTTGCGTTGAAATGCCTGGAAACGTTTTTGGAAAAGCTCATTTTCAGGTTATGGACGATTGCCCCATGGTTCGATCACTTGGTAAACTTGTGGAGCAGGGTCATCCCTTCATTTGGTGCCCAGGTGAATTGCCTTTCTTTGGAAAGAGTGCAGACTCCATTCAATTGACACACAACTCGGATATCATTTGTGCACAGTGAGTAGAGGATAGTGTTCCCATCTTCACTGAGACATTCAACATGTCGTCAGCATACGCATTGCCAGGTGCCGCAGGAGAAGATGTTGAGCACTCCGCTCCAGCCGTGATTCCAGAAGCTCGAGAAGAACGTGTCAGGGAAGAGGGGGGTTCATCCGATGCAGATTCTGAAGGGGAGATGCCAGTAGATCGGTTGAGACGCCTCGTAGCTGAAGCTAATTCTTTAGAGCATAAGTTGTGTCATTATCCAAAGAATCCTCATTGTCCAGTGTGCCAAAGATCGAGAATGTACAGAAAGAAAGTTCGCAGGTTCAGACATGATGCACTCACAGATCGTGGCATGTTACCAGTGGTAATCCAATTTGGAGAAAGGATCGCAACAGACTTCGTGATCGTTCAGAAGCTGAGTTCAGGCAAAGAACATGTGGTCCAGGTCGTACGTGATGAGTTTTCGGGATGGATCAGGGCATATCCTTTGAACAAGCGAGACACCTCATCCGTGGTAGGCAACATACTGTCGTTTCTCGGGCCATCATACGACCAACCCTCCATAATGGTAAAATCCGACCAAGCCATTGAAGTCAGAGCAGCGTGCAAGCAACTTGGATGCCATTTTGAAGGCACCCTTGAGAATAGGTTTCCACACAATAGTGTCCTTGAACGGGACATCAGAACCGTGCAAGAAATTGCCAGGGCTTGTCATTTGCAAGCTGGATTCGATCTTGTAGGCGGTTTGTGGATCCATTCAGTTGACTATGCAGCCACCATGCTCACAGCATTTCAATGTGCGTCCGGAAAAGACCAAACAAGACATCAGCTTGCTACAGGTAAAGAGTTTTCTGGTAGAAAGTTGCTTCTAGGACAGCTTGTGCACTACCACGTGCCGGCAGCTCAGAGAGGCAAATTTGATCCATCCTCGAAGCCTGGTTTGTTTGCTGGTTGGCGATATGACGCAGGTCCGTTGTCACACAAAGATGTGTACTATGTCCTGGATTATGGTAAGTTGAAAACAAGAGAGGCAGGTATGCTAATGCAATCTCGGTGCCTGCTGAGGAACTCTATGTTGAGGAGAAAGAGCCTTTGCTTCCTTTGAAGCGTGCAGCGGATCTGGCATTGGCCAACTTCAGTGAAGCAACATTGGATGACATTCCGCCTCTTGACATACCTTTTTCAGACGTAGCCATCGAAGGAAAAGTAAAGAGAAGTGAGTACATCACCCTTGATCGCATCATGCGCTTCGGAGCAACAGAGGGTTGTCGTGCGTGTAGGTTTGAATCAACTTATAGTAAGCACACTCCCATTTGCCGTGCGCGATTCAATGGACTAATCAGGGCAGATCGCATTGCATCATCGAGAGCAGATGGGTCAAACACTCCAGTTCCAGTGACGCCAGCACCCGAAACACCAGCCCCAGAGATTGTTGAAGAATTTGCAGGTGTTCCAGAAGAGGAGCTTCCGTTCAATGCTGGAATTGCCCCGGATCGTGCGGCCATTGTGAAAGTCCTTGAAATAGATGATGTGTTTGTTGAAACTTGTAGGATGAGAAATCGATTCCGAAGGTTACACCATCAAAAAGGGGAAAATGTGTTGTTTGAATTTGCATGTTCAAATGACTCCGTGTTGGGTAAAGTTGCAGAATCAATCAATGTAGATTGTATCCGTTTGAGTAGGGATGTGCTGGATCTGACTGACCCAGAGCACCTTTCCCAAGCGTTGGGACAAGTCGACGCACTGCCAGGTTCAGATACTTGGGTGTCCATTGTGTGTACGTACCATAGCCCACTGCAACATCTCAATGAGTACCTTCATGGGGAAAAAATACAAACGAAAGTTGAAACAAAATCGAAAACAATCCATCAAGCTGTTGCGTAGTGCGCAAAAGTTCATTGCCAAGGTTTTGAGTCACGGTGGTCGTGCAGCCTTTGAATTACCAGCAGAGAATGAACTGTGGAAAGACCCAGAATGGATGAAGTTTGAAGCAGATCATTCAATGAAACGTGTGTTCTTTAACGGTTGTTCTTTTAACCTTCGTGGAAAGGGGGGTGAATTAATAAAGAAGCCGTGGGCTGTCAGCACTTCTGACATGCGACTCATACAAATCCTTGACCAGCATAAGTGTTCAGGTGATCACCAGCATGAACCAGCAATGGGTGGCAATGCAGCACACACAGCATACTACACACCAGAAATGGCATCAAAGATTCTCGAGGCCCTTTATCCGAATAAGTTTTACAGTTCCGTTCCATCAGTTCAGCATGGTTCAGCCTTTGTCACTTTGAACCTCAGCCGAAGCCAGTGGTTGAATGATGAGAGAGGGGTCCAAGCTGTACAGAAAGAAGCAGATGGCCTCAGAGCCAACGAAACTTGGAACGACGAAACGGTCGATACCCTTCAGAACTGGAAGACTTGGGCCCGGAATTCCAACATCAAGATTCATGTCGCGGACCTTTTAACCCTTTGCGGAATAAAGCACTTCGAGTTGGGACCTTCGCAATGGAAATATAAGGGCCGTGTCGTTTATAGAGGCGACAGAATCAGAGACACAGATGGAAATGTAATTCTGTTCCGAGAAACAGCAACAAGTCCCACAGCGATAATCGCACTACAAATAGCCCTTTGGTACGGCTTGCTAGCCGATCACATTGTGACATGTAGTGACGCAGTTCAGGCATTTCTTCAGACATGGTTTGACAAGAACGATTGGACGCTTGTCATCCTGCCAGTTGAACTTTGGAAACCTGAATGGAAAGCTCGCTTTGGTGAATCCGCAAAGTTGGCAGTTCGGTTGCAGAAAAGCCTGTACGGCCACCCCATGGCCGGAAAGTGGTGGCAGCAGTTCCTCAACTCTTGCATTGTTTCTATAGGTGGGATAGAACTCCAAGAACATCCAAGTAATTTTGTGTTTCGTTGGAATCCCAGTAAACATGGCGGAGATGTAGATCATGAATATGTTTTGCTTCTCAATGTTTACGTGGATGATTTAACACTAAGTGGACATCGATGTTGCCATGAGTCATTTTGGAGAACCTTGTCTTCAAAGGTGAAACTGGATCCATTTCAAGAGATCAACACAGAAGGTCTCTTGATCTTGGGACGCAGACACTTCATTGAGAGAAGTCCATCTACCTCAAAGATCACATTCGACATGCGTACTTATGTTGATCAGGTTGTGAAGACGTACTGTGAGCTTACTGGAACAGAAGTCACAGCTTTGAAGAAGGTCAGCACTCCAAGTTATCCAGAGAACTCCATGACAGATGAAGAGTTGAACCAACAAGGACAACTCAGCGGTTCAGCAGCCAGAGTTCTGATGAGAATCCTTTGGCTCTCCAGACTCGCTCGCCCAGATGTGAGTTTCATTGTGGGTCGTTTGGCAACACGCGTCACACAGTGGTCGAAATTCGAAGACAGACAACTGTACAGATGCATTTGTTATCTTCACCACAGTCGAGACAAAGTTTTGGTAGGACAAATCGACCATGCACACGAACAAGAAGCATCAATCGAGGTGTTTACAGACAGTGACTTTGCCAGCTGTCCGTTCAGTGCTAAAAGCACGTCCGGAATCATGATAGTGATCAAGACAGGTCAGTTGTCGCTTCCGATTTACTGGAGCAGTCGAAAACAGACAAGTGTAGCTCGTAGCACGCCGGAGGCCGAGCTGATCGCTATGTCGTCTGCCATGTTCACGGAAGTCATCAACGTACAAACCATGCTGCAACAACTATTGGAACGACCTATCCAAGTTAACTATCGTCAAGACAATCAAGCAGTAGTCGACATCGTCACTTCTGGTTACTCGGCCAAACTTCGCCATGCACCCAGAGTTCACCGTGTGAACGTAAGTTCAGTAAATGAGGTGCTTTCAGAAGGGTTTCTGCATTCAATTTGGTATACCCATACTGCAGAGCAGATTGCAAATGGCTTGACCAAAGTCATTTCTCCAGCCGAGTGGCCTTCAATGCTTCATCAATTGTGCATCCAAGACTTTGACGTAGATACAGAATCGTAGTTTCATTTGTTGTATAGCAACTTGCTTACAACTTGGAATTGCATCCAGGTCAGGAATGTTGCCCGAGGGGGGAGTTGTGAAATCACACGAATCCTAAGGGTGTTATACAGTTTACGACCATACATTCCTTGACTTGCCAGTTTGTGCAAACCATTTTGGTTGTTACCGACTTATTTTGGCTCAAGCACTGTTAAAAGGGCGCTGCCTTGTGCTTGGGTGCATCTTGACTAGTTCCCACGTAAGGCTGTATCGTGGTTGAACTAACTTTCTTTTGACTATTGACTATCCATGACTATATTCTGTTCAAACCGCCTATACAGTAAATAGGTTCAAAGCCTGGTGATAAATGGGCGAAGTAGGGTAAGTAGAGTCAGTCAGGCTATATCATCAACCCATGGATATCAAAAACATATTGACAAGACATTATTATCAAGTGTTTCTCATCATTTGCGCTCTGGTGATTTAAGGTAGCTATGGAAAATGACTCATTTATAGATGATTTATGGGGGTTTACCTGTCAAACAATTGTGATTTCCATAGCTAGGCAAGATAACCAGAGGGTACTATCGCCATTTTGTCCTCCCAATTCCTGGCTCATCCCCATGACTGAGTTTTTTCATCCCAGGCAGCCCGAAGAGGCTTGGGGCAGCGGGGTAGCGGCGGCTGGCTAGGTCGATTTCACGATTTCAGGTGGAGGGTGATTCATTGGTAATGCATTGGCCTTAGTAACTATATAAATGGATTCTCCCATTTATAACTGGGTAAATTTTCATTTGATGATGCCCTGGATGCTAATCCCACATCTACTAGGTCCTAATTGGATTTTCCTCCACAAGCCCTAACCAACTACGATCAGGAGCCAGGCGCCAACGAGGAAGCGGAGTGCAAGGTGCACAGTGGGTGCGGCAGGTTTTCCAAGGGGGTTGGGCCTGTTTCGGCCTCACTGTAAAAACAAACATGTATTGAGTTGTTTGGTGATGATTCAACTTCCAAGGAACACGCCTCTATGATTGTACGGTGGTTGATCCAAAGGTTCTCGTAAAGAATAATGGTGTATTAACCACCATATATATATAATTATAGATGTATGTATATATATATATATATCTAGGGGTTGCCCATGGCATTTTCATTGATTCCACAGCTTCAGGTTCACTCCAACTACCAGGACTCGGCAGAACCCAACATTCTGATCAATTTAATTGGCTTTGTCCAATTACCCATTTATCACCCAGAGAATTTGACAGTATGAATTATAGTAATCAAACAAATATAGTAATCAACTGGCTTTATTACCCATTTATCAACCAAATGTATGATATTTATATGAACATTTTGGGTTGATAAGCATCTCTGTTTGGTATGTCCCGTGGCAGGCCACGTCCTCCTCGCCGTGCATGCCTTTGGACGACGTGGGGGAGATTGCAGACGTCTTGGAGGATGGACTTGAAGGGGTGGAAGATCATGCTCCAGCCCCATGAAAGCTAGGTCAATCTTAGATGGGTAGTTTTATCCTTTAGTCACTTTAGTCTTTTGATATCAATGGGATTATCTACACCATGAAAGATAAACAGTGTTCAAAAGCAAGCATAACAGAATGGCAGAGGGTTTTGAACAGTGCACAAGTAATGCGATGAACATCCAATTGGGGATGGGGATGGCTATCTACTACCTATTCATGTTCAAATTTATTCAAATTTGGGATGTTTCATTATTGGGTTTACCACAGTATTCTCATACAGAACAAGTGACGTATCTTCAAGAACTATGCCTTTGCCAATCTGTTTGGGATGTGAACAGGAGTACGTGCTGAGGACCCTTGGGAAACAAACATACAGCACATTTCTATAGATTCTTTACCTGCATGAATCATCTAAGCCATCAAAACCATAGATTGGTTTAAATCTTAACAGGAAACCATAGATCTTCCCCTTGAATTATGGGGAAGAACCATGGTTTCCTGCGAATTTTCCCTTAAACCAATCCATGGATCAAAGTTTCAGGTGACTCCTCCCATGGCTTTCCCAGGCCGCACGACCCTTGGAGCCCTCGGACGCCCCGGCCCCATCCACAGCGTCCGCGGCCGACGAACACGAGGCGGTACCGAAGGCGGTAGAGGCGGCGGTGGAGGAGTGCCGGGGGGAGGTCTTGGGCAGGGGGTGAGGGGTAGCCGGGTAGCATCAACCAACATAAGTAGGTTTTATTGTGAAAAAATTGGGATTGTATTATAGTATAATACGGCAAGACCCTATGGCTTGCCCCGAAGGTTAGAACGGTGTTCAAACCTTATCCTGCGAGATGCTCAAATACCTGCGCAGGGCCAGTGTTTCGGCACTTCCAAGACAACGAACCCTAAACCCTAAATTCTAAACCCTAAAGCCCTAAACCCTAAAACCCTAGAACCCTAAACCCTAAAACCCCAAACCCTGAAAACTTTGAATCCTAAACCAGAAAACACTGCATATACTCAGTATTTTCTACAATATCTCTCGTCATTTTCGACAGCAGGACATCCTCAATGTTGCAGTCCGGGCAAAACACGGGGCGTATAGGTAGAGTTACATTGCTTAAGCACCGTAAACCCAAGTGATAACAGGATTAAGAGGGTTGCTCAATAGGTATAATATAATTATATAAATGATTATCCTAGAATGCGGGGATATGGATGATTTCGTTGGGGTGTTCTTTGCATTTTATTCCCTGGGATTTTTCAGGGTTTTTGGTCTTTGGAAATTACTCTTAGACACAGGTGTGGATTGGGAGGTGTGGGTTTGGATGGTCTGGACACAGATGCAGAGCCAGCATAGGTGAAAGCACATGGGCCGTTTGCGGAAACACTTGTCAGAGAGTAAGCTTCATCTACACCATTCTACACCACAAGTTTAGCCGTCATCACAAGAGTCATTTGCGGGGTTCTGAAGTTCAACTTTGACCTGAGCAAGACAACCAAAGTTTACCCAACAGAAGAATGAACTGCATGTGAAATAATAGGTCGAATTTTTAATATTCAATCAATTTCAATGATTCACCTTTCATGTCAAGTCTTTTCTTATAGCGCATTTAGATATTTTTTAATGATCCTTCAAGTCAAGCCCCGAAGACACCTGGCGCTTTCCCAAAGGCGCCCCCGGGTCCCGGGTCCTCCGCTGCGCATCGCTTGGTGCGTTCAGGAGACGGCTGCTCCAGCTGACCCGGCTGCTGACGATGCCGCGGCGGAAGGCACGACGCGATGGGAATGGGTTGTTCTTGTTATTTTTTGATTGATTCTTTGGTTTTCTTTTTTGTGGGAATTTCGATGGTTTCGATTTTGACTAATTATATTATATATACGTATATGTATATATATATATATGATGATGATATTTATACACACACACAAAAACGTTATTCCAACATTTTATTGACTTTTTTTGGCACATTTGGATGTTCTGTTTTGCTTGATGATTGAAGATAGAGTCCTGGTTGGGCTGTGAACAGTTTGTCCTTCTTGGGATATATTTGGTTTTGATAGATCCCCAGCTATGGGGCCAGGCCAAAACCTATGACTTTCCTAAATGAATGGGTGGCTGAACATCCACAAGATATCACAAGATCACAACCACCATCATCCAACTATTGATGTTCACCAGGCCAGGTGTTTGAGTCATATCCATATTTCAGAATTTTCAGAATTTCGTTGATGAACCATTCAATTTGGAAATTTGGCTCCACCCTTTTTTGACCCCCAACCCCTCTGCCCCGGTCCTCCATGGAGGCGACTATCCGCGGCTCTTCCACATCTCGGCACTGGATCTGGGTGGCTCGGAGCAGGGGGATGGAATAAGGAGGGGATGCTCTGTGATCGTTGAAGCTGGCAATTTTGGAAGTCCCTGAAAAAACATGAAAAAAACGACATTCACCAACCATACGGAATATCTATTGCACATGGTGGGAGTTCCCAGTTTCTATCTGGTTGTTTAGATATGTCTTCAAGGTTGTTCACCAAAGCATTATGGCTCTATACACAAAGAAGTGCGAGTTCGGACGTTGATCAGAGATGCGGTGGTGCACGCTGGGAGTGCAATGGAGGCGTTTCAGCCAGTTGGCACCCAGATCGCCACCACTTTGGTGGCAACAGGGATGGCCAAGGCAACGTGCCGGCAGTGTGGCAGAGGCCGAGTTACTGGCGCCTTTGGGGGAGCTGCTGATGCCCGGCATGCCGGTGAGGGAGATGTTTCGGAGCTTCAAATCGCCAGCAGGGTGGGGAGGGAACTATTTGGAGCCGGATTTGACGGCTTATGGTCTGCTGAAAGATCAGAATGCAGCGCTTTTTGTAGAGTACGATGGGTACTATCGGCATGCGACAAAGGAAGGCATGGACAAGGATTTGCTGAAGAACGCGGCCCTGCTGGAATTTGCGCCTGTAGGCTCGTTTGTAGTCCGAATCGGCCATAAGGGCAGAAGTCGACTAGATGGACAGGTTCTGTGGGTAAACGTTAATTCTTGGCGCCCGAGGGATAGCCTGTCGCTCAAAAGGTCTTTGCAGACTGCTTTAGAAGAGACCGTGCACAGACTTCGACATGCGTTGCATCCGAATATGTACAGATGTTTGGAAGAACGCTTTTGGATAGAGCAGCCGATGCTGATCTCCCAATCTGCGCTGGACTTTCGTGAAGCAGCTCTAGTCAAGGGAAAAGGCAACACAGCAAAAGAGGTTTCAAACCATTTGCACGCTAATGGGTTTGGACCTGCAGACATTGACCGGTTGCAAGAACGAGCGCTGGTGGGAAGGGTATCCATCGAACGGACTCTGCGCCCTCTCCTGCGGTGGTTGACGGACTTGGGGCTGACAAAGAGCCAAATTGCGAAGGCAATTGCCACTTATCCTCAAATTCTCGGGTGCAGCCTGGAGCATAACTTGAAACCCACCATGCAGTGGTTCTTGGACTTGGGGCTGACTCAGAGTCAAGTTGCAAAGGCAGTGACTACTTTTCCTCACATGCTTGGGTACAGCCTCGAGCACAACTTGAAACCCACCGTGGAATGCTTCTTGGACTTGGGGCTGAGTAAGGATCAAATTGTGAAGGTAGTGGCCACTTTCCCTCAAATACTTGGCCTCAGCCTCAAGCATAACTTGAAACCCACCGTGAAATGGTTCTTGGACTTGGGGCTGACTAAAGATCAAATTGTGAAGGTAGTGGCCACTTCCCCTCAAATACTTTGCCTCAGCCTCGAGCATAACTTGAAACCCACTGTGAATTGGTTTTTGCACTTGGGACTGACGGAGCGCCAACTTGCAAAGGCAATGGCAGACTTTCCTTCAATTCTCGGCCTAAGCATTGATAATCTTACTTGCAAGGCCAAGCTTTTGGAACTGTTTTACACGTCCGCAGGCATTGTGCAGCTAATCGCAAAGTTTCCCCGCATTCTTTCGTTTAGCCAGCAGCGGCTGCAGGATCGTTTGCGCGTTCTGTCAGAGCAGGGCAGTCTTGCGAAAGTGACCAGCGCCATGGTTCTGACAGACGAAGAATTTCACAAACGGTTCTTGGCTCAGAAAAGGTGCGACCGGTGCGACCTCTGATTCCCTGCATGGTGCAAGGGGGAAGATTGGCCAATGGCATCTGGCACTATTAGAGACGCTTCACCCCTATGAATCCTGCAACAAATGTGGGACCCAATGGACCACCAAAGTAGATCCACAAATTTTCAAGACGCACCCATCTCAAACGGCCGATTCCCATTGAATTCCTATCAACATATATTCAGATTCAGAGAATAGTCCATTGAAATCTCCCCCATTTGATCCATCAATTTTTCTTCCCAACTTTCCATATATACCTATATTCCAACTTTCCAATTTTCATCAATTTTCCAACTTTCCACCTATTCCCCCAAAATCCCATCCAATGAACATATTTTAGTCATTTTAAATCATTCCACATGGTAAAATGAATTCCCCATAAAATCACCCCCCACCCCAAATCAGAGGTGATGACGCCGCGGACGAGCCAAGCGGCGCGGTCACGGATCGCACCGTGCTGGAGGGTGCCGTGGCTTCCGTGGGACGAGGGGACGAGGGCATGGCATGGGGGGAGGCTGTGGAAACTTAGGGGATTTCAATGGAGTTTAGTGGATTTTTAATGGATTGATTTCATTTCATGGTACATCAGATTTGATATAGTTTTATGATGTTTTATGACGTGTTTGTATCATTTCACAATCTTTAGTATGTTGTTTCATCACGGTTTTATGGTGAGGAAATGATTGGGGGTTAAGAGCCTCACAGGATTCGTTGCATCAACAGGGATCGCCAGGATTGCCACCATGGTCCATTCAGTGAGACCATTCACATGGATTTTCCATGTGGCGCATGACACCTTTCCAGACATTTCCAGACCTTGCTGGCTTTCATTCCACCGTTCTCAGGTAGTGGTGCTATATAAATTGAACTTTTTCCGCATCTTTTTTTGGGGTTACTAAAGGAAGAACTCACGAAACTTACCCTCCGGTAGTCAAACAGGGCGTTCTTGAAAATTCCCATATTCAGTTGATGATTTTCCCAGCGAGCCAAACCTCCATGTAATTCAGGGATTTCACAGCTAGCCATGTTTCATTATCCCATGATATTCACACTAAATCCCTATTTGTTGATGGTCAAACCTCCATTCAAAGAGATCTTCCCATATGGAGGTTTCCATAAATGGGGGTTCCCCCAAAAGGGTTTTTTTGCCAATTTATAATGGAAAATCCCAATCTGCAAAAATAGATGATTTAGGGATATCCCCCATTTCAGGAAACCTCCATAGATTTCCCATGATTTTCCACCACCCGGGCAGCGTCCAAGGCCTCCACCACGTGGCCACCGCCAGCTCCGCGGCCTCCGGCAGCGCCGGCGCCACGTCGGGCGCGGTGACGGCGCCGCGGAAGGCGCCCAAGGTGAAGCGCCGCACGCGTGGCGCGCTGGAAGGGGATGGAGAGGGGGCTGGGAGGGATGGATGGACCGATTTTTTTTTGGCTTTGAAAGTGTTGGGAAATCACATGAAATAACCAAGGAGCATTGGGGTTTGTTGGAGATTTTTTAGTGTTTGGGTGAAGAAAAATTGGATCTGTTTAGAGATTTTGGCTGATCAGAGTTTAGCTTTTGAGGAGCGCACCAGAAAGATTAAACAGCGGAAATGGACGTGTTGGAAGAAACGGAGGTTGTTCATGGACGGTCACACCTCTGCAGAGGATTGTAATCCGATCCTCTTGTAGTTTTGAACCACACACACACAGATAAATTCCCATACTAAACCAGGGTTCAGTCAGGAGTATTGGATATGAAGAAACCTTGAGTAATTATTTGTCATCATGGTTTTGATGTGGAAAAGAGGGGTAATTACACATATTGGAGTTCCAGCAGCTTTAATGTACAAATATCCCTGAAGTTCTTTGTATTTTCAGCAAGTCGGGATGATCCTGATGGTCTGCAAAGCCAAATATTCTGGACAAAACTTCTGTCCCTTGCATAGTGAAGGAATGTTTGAAATTGCACCAATCCGAAGCCATCCGCTTCGACCAAGAATTCTGCTCTCAACCAATAGAAGTCCTCTGCTCAGTTGCCAAGGTGCTGAAGTTATGCTCTGGTGAGCCGTGCAACAAGACGTTGCGCGCTCGAAACCGACGGCTTTGGTCGGTGGTTTGGGGGGTTCATCATGAGATTCTCCTGCCTGCGCATATTGCAGACCCCCAACCAACCAAAAGTGTGGCAAATGACGTTTCTTCTTTTTTTGTGGGTTGCTATTAGCCATGATATACTTCTTGAGATTTTCCAAACAAGACTTCGCCATGATGGTTACGTCATGACGTGACCCCAGATCGATCTGCGGCTAATCCTGGCTACTGTAATCCAAGCATCGATGCACTCCAAAGCGAGACTGTCGACAATCCTCACGAGGGCTGGAAGTGCATAAATCTCCGAATGTTATCCGAAAATGGGTTCCAAGTGATCCAAATGGAGGTTTCCTAAAATAGGGGTACCCCAAATCATCCAAGTCATTAGATAAATTTTAGTATTGAAACAACATGAAACAACCATGGTGACTTGGGGATCCTTCATTTTATAATCCCTCCCCATGTCATTCACAGCTTTTGCCAACAGTAAGACATTGATCACTTCCAGCCGTGCAAGTTGCCCCCGGCACCAAGAGGGGCCAAAGCGTGATCTCTCGTCGACCCGGACTGGTGAAGAAAGCTGGTGGGAAATCTATGCCATGGCAAATCCATGGATGATGGTTAATAGTGGTTAATAGTGATGGTTAATAGTCAGGTGGTTTTCATAGGCTATAAACCAACAACTATATGGGAATATGATGGTGATCTGATGATATATCTGGGTAAATTTGATCACGACCTCACTGTTCGACCAAACCCTGGAATCATAATTAATAAGGGAAATCATCCCCAGCCATGGCCGAACTATTCAGGTTAGTGAAATATTATAATTTACCCATATATATTGAAAATTGATAGCTGCTTAGCTATTAAACATGGACGAATCCGTTTTTTTCTTGATGAACAATGGATTAACATGGATGATCATGACGATTTTGTCGTTGCCACGTTCACCAGAGGGTATGGTCTAGGACCCTCCAGTGGGGGCCGAGGCGCATTTTTGGGTCAGCTGCGTAAAACCTACGATGGCTGTATCGTTGAACGAAACGCTCTGTTTCTGGCGTTTGCGGCGGTTGGACCGTCCTGATAGAAACCCGGGGTGTTCTATTCTTGCATAGCGTCTTGCGATAGTGCATCTAACCAAGCAGTTGGGCTATGGTTGTGGCAATGCAACGTAATACTTGGATGTCCACTCCACTGATATAGTGGCCCCATATATATAGTAGCCACATTGACAACATTTCTTTCGCCGGGTATAAACTCCGTCAACGAACATAAGAAAAGGCGAACAAACATGGCAATTGAGAAAAAAACACCAACTGGGGTCGATGATTTGCCTCTTAAACATGTTGTCCAACATGGCAATTGAGATTACAGAAAAAAAGCACCATTTTGGGGTTGATGATTTACCTTTTGAACATATTTTGTTTTCCATGTCGAAACGGATTAGTCGGAGGAGAACATCCCAGAAGGTTTTGCATGTCCGAATATCATCGAAGATCTCCCAGCGTTGGTGAAATCTTCCCATTCTTGAGGGTTAATCGGTAAATCACAGCTTTTCATAGTGAAATTCCAAATGATCGGTTAAGGTAGCAAGTCTTATGCATTCGATCCTATTGAATCCATTCAATGGCATCAAATTCCATTGAATCCCACCAAAACACAAAACACTTTATTAACTTTATTAAGTCTCCGTTTCAGCCATATCAGGATATTCAGGATGAACATGTCCCATATTTCAAGCTTACCTCAGTCACAGGACAATCCGGCCGCCCAAGCCAGCTACTCAATGGCTGCTGACCAAAAAAAAGCCGTGGCCAGGGAGAGGTGGATTGAAAGATGGTGAATCATGTGGCAAAATCATGGATTTTTGGATTTTTACCACATGTTTCCAGCTAAAATGATGATTTTTCCCGAGAAACTGTTCCATTTTCCTACTTGGTGGCTCATCCCAGTTAGTAAGTGGATTATAACCCCAGTTATAAGTGAACTAACCCTACTGAGCCCAGTTATAACCAGGGTATAACCTACTCACTAAGTGGGGGTGAACCACCAAGTAACATTTTCCATTGGTTTTTTTCCCCAACCACCGCACCTTCACCGCCGGCCTTTCCGGCCAGGTGGACACCCGACGACCCCGCTCCAGCAGCCCGGCGGCGCGGTGCCTTTGGCCGAAACGGCCGAGCTGTTGAGTCACCGGGGGGTCAGGGAAGATCATGGAAGATCTACTGGGAAAACTCAGTTTTATCATGTTTTATCCATTGAAACATAGGGGAACATCATGGAACATCTATATAGGATATAGGACATATATCTATAGGAAGACCTAGTTTTTTGGGTTATAGAACATCTATTTTGAGAATATCTATATGACTTGTGTTCAGAGTTTTTCTGGTTCAAAGGGAAGATCTATAGGAAAAGTTACTCTTAACTTAATATGATAATATAGGGGACAATGGTTGATAGCAACCCCAAAATAGATACCAAAAAGTTGGATGGACATCTGGAAATATGAGGTAATTATCATTGAACTACCATCCTAGACACATTGTTTGGCATCTTTTTGAAGCTTATTTTAAGGGGAACATCTACAGGAGGAGCCAGCTTTCAGGTGTCAACGGATCCCTGGAATCTTGACCTCACCATTTGAGATCCATTGGGGTAGCTAGGATAAGGGGATCCCCCAAAGGAGACACCTAATTTCTTCCACGTTCAGGACGGAAACCAATGATTTGTGGAAGGTCTTAATGTTAGGAAACACACGGTTCATCCTGGGTGGTTGTTGCTTACGTGTCACACCACATTTTGAGACAAAATCGCATGTTGAATCTTTGGGCCAGCGGACTTTGGTGAGCCCAATTTGGATAGATTGTGGAGCTGACTCTGAACAAATCCCCTGCCCAAAGACACCAAAGGGTGAAAATGCAGAATGCATCTACCTGTGGCTTCAGCTCTTGGTATCTTTCCATCTTTGGAATCTTATTTAGCCAGACACATCCCCATGGTCGCAGCCATCTGATGGTAAAATGAATGTAAAAAATCGATGTGTTTTGGTGGTTAATTTGTATGAATATTATATAGTTGGTCTTCCTATTTTTCCAATATGTTCATTGAAAAGCATCCCAAATCCGTATTTTGTCATTTCTGATGCTTCCACACTACTTAGTTGGTAGTTAAATCACTATTTTAGTGATTTAGCTTTAACTCTGTTAAACATCCACCATATGGCAAAAACAGTGAAATTAGGGTCCTTGTTCTAGTGACACATTTTGGGTCCCATAGCTTTCAGTATAGTGACATCACCAGGTGATTTTAGTATAGTTCCTATGGCTAAAATATGTTCATATTATATTAAACATCCAGAGGATATTTGGTTTCTATAGCTTTATAGTGACATCACCATATATTTGAGATGATTTTAGTATAGTTCTTACCGCTGAAACATGTTAAACATCCAGCATGTCAGATTCGCCCAGAGAGTTTCCTTCCTGTCCTTCAGATCTGTCCATCATCCATACCAAGGCCTCAGAGCGACCTTGTCGAGGCGCGAAAACATGGGCAATGTTTGGCCCTTGAAAAAAGTACAGACTCACTGATGCTTGAGGAAATATGAACTTGGATTATTGGGACACCTCAAGTACTTGATAGTACTTGGATAGTACTTGAATATATATATATATATGTATATATAATATATACAGTACTTGGATATACTTGGATTATTGATGGTTCATGATCACTTGAGTAATCTGGAGGTTTTTTTGGAGATTTCAATAGACCTTTGAACTCGTACTCGATGTGGCTGTGGCTAGGTCTCTTGGGGAGTTCACGGATCAAGCTGGGGAGGATGGCTGCAGAACCAACTGAACTTGGGAAATATAGAACACTTGAATTGTCCTACCGGGTGCATCCCAGTTTGTAAGTAATAACTTGTTATACCAGTTTATATATACATGGAATGGATTGTTTATGGCATGTAAAAAAAACCAAGTACTCTCCTTCTTTCACTGCGAGTCACCTGGGAACATGCTTTCTGTAGAGGCTCCAGCCGCTGATGCAGCACAAGAAAGGTTCGGTGACCCAGGTGTGGCAAGGGCTGGCAATGCTGGCCGGGGATGGCTTGGGTGGTGGCTGTCAACATTTGGAAGATGGGAAGAAGTGGAAAAACCATGAAAAAAATCCGTTCGGCTCAATTCCTCAAGGAGAGAGCGATTCCATAGATGTCCTTTTCCGTAAATGGTCAGGCTGGTGGATTCATTTCCCCAGTGGCCCAGTGGGTCAAACTGAGGAAAGAGTCTCCCGCCAGATCCGCTGGGCCGAGTCGGAGAATCAGCCCGAGGTACAGATCAGGTGGGGACGGCATGGTCGGGCAGGGCATGGCCTCCTAAGGAGATCTAAGGAGTGAACGAGGTAGGCGATGGAATGTGGTGTGGCCAAACGAAATATTTGGTTGGTGATTTTCTGACATTTGTGGATGAAACGAACAATCCGAAAACAGTCATCCAATGACGGCCGAGCTCACAACGGATATGTCTGATTTGGGACTCATTATGCATCCGGAGTCGAGGCTTGGCAAGTGGGCCTTGCAAACAAGGGGTATGTTCCAGGTACATTCCCAGTTCATCTCAGTTCATCCCAGTTCATCCATGGAAGATTGGAAGATCTTTGGATTCAAGGTGTGGTTCACCCCAAGATCGCCAAATCAATAGACGTTGACCCCGTTGGATGTTGGGGTTCCGATGGAAAAAACATCGCCAGGCCTCTCCAGCGGTTCGACCCAGGTGGCGAAGGCACCAAGGGGTGGGAACTTGGGGATTTTTTTCCCCGAAAAGATGCGGTGTTTCGCTCCAAAGGTGGCGTTTGAACCACGGTAACCACGGCAAAACTTGGGATTTTGAGCAACAAACCCATGGTGGATCTGATCAGGAACCTGGGAGAAGATTGGGGGGGTTCGGACTGAACTTGGTGACTTCTACCAAGGCGAAATGGGAGTTTGACCCTCCTGAAAAATGGTGGGATCAGCTGAGAAATGATCAGAAAACTTGTTTCACACTACCTGGCTGTTTTATCTTCCGAACTCCCTTGCTGTGTTTTTGGTGGTTCCAACCTATGAGACAAACCAAGCTCCAACAGCTGCGCCCCGTGCCCGAGGAGGCGGAAGATGCACCCCAGGACCGAAGAGTTTGGGTGGAGAGATGGGCGATTTCAGGCAATGGAAGAAGAATCATTGGGAAATACTGGGGAAATCTTGGAAAATATTGGGATATATGGGGAATTTTTGGTAAAACTTGGGAGACACTGGGAGATCTTTGGACATATTAAGAAATCTTGGGAAAGTTGGGGAGACCGATGGATGTTGGGTGCCTCTATAGAATACTGGAACATCGACTCATTTAGAACCGAAACTTTGGGAATCTATCTGCCCGGTTGGTCCGGTTGGTGGCAGTGTAACCTCAAAGTCCTCTCGAACTCTGGAAGAATGGACTTTCCACGCATTTTCCATGATAATTCCATGAATTTTCCGTGAAATTCCATGAATTTCCTACAAAGTCATACAGAGTCGATGTCTTACTGGTCCTCCAAAAACCTGCACATTTTCTTTAGGAGCAGCCGCGACGGACGTCCTCGCCACCGTGGGGGAACCCAATTTTTGCAGAGCCCTTCCCAGATCTACCAGTTGGGACCTCCAAGCAAATCATGGATTTCACTTCGTTAATGGCCAGTTTTCCATTAGTTTCAGAGCAGGAAGTGACTCAGTGACAGGAAACACCCAATTATGTCGTACACACCTTCAGAAAACTCACAGAAAAGTGGGTTTTGCCAGCATGTTCCGTACGATCCCAATCACCCCAGGATGGCCGAAGGTCTTGCTAGGGGCTGTTTTAGAGGTTCCCTTGCAGCAAGTTGAAGCTGCCATGGCCGGTTTGGAGTTTCAAAGATGTTTCAAGTATGCTTCAAATGCTTAAGCCTAAGAAACAATCCCCCCAAGCACCTTGGACTTGCTTCACGGCTGTCCGGAAGTTTCAGGATCAAACGTCCAGCAAAGGTCACCTGGCATGCCCCTGGCATGATCAGCCCCTCCATTCGCATGGTGCATTGCCATGGTGCTGCTGCACGGTTCGTGCCGCGCATGTGGAAAGGGATCACCGGTGGACGATGGATGGCATCCACAGCACCGGAGTGGTGGAGGAAGGGGTGGCCGCGAGAGCGGGTGGATAGCCTGGCCGAAGCGGAGCTGTTGTCGCAGCTGGCCGTGGCGTTGAAGCCGCGGACAAGAATTGGAGAGTTGTTTCGGAGATTTCCAGCACCGGAAGGGTGGGGCGGGAATTATTTGGATCCAGATTTGGCGGTGTATGGTGTTTTGATGAGGAAAGATGCGGCCCTGTTCGTGGAATATGATGGATTCTGGCGACACAGTGAGGATGAAGGTCTTTCAATCGACCGCAGGAAAAATGCTGCCTTGTTGTCACATGCTCCGCTTGGTTCACTCATAGTCCGCATTGGTCACTGGGAGTACAAGCCACTGGACGCAGAGCTAGATGTACTTTGGATTGCCGTTGATCGCTGGAATTCCGGAGACCAGCAGTCCATCTCAAAGGTGTTGAACTGCGTTTTCCTGGAGATTTTGGCTGAATTTGGTGAATGTTTGGATCCAAGGGTGGCGAAACGCTTGCAGAAACTGGCGGGAATGGACTTCATGCCTGCTCCAGCCAGGTCTCAAGAATTTGTGAATGAAGCTGCAGCTGCGGCTGGTGGAACCACCAGGGAGGAACTGTTGGATATTTTGATAAGTCATGGCTTCAGCTGCTCCAGTGTGGAGATTCTGATGAAGCAGCCGCACTTGCTCCGTCTTTCAAGTGAGATGCAATTGAAATCCGGCTTCAAGTATCTTTCAAGCCTTGGGTTAAGCGAGACTGACATCACCAAAGCAGCGGTTCGATATCCGAAAATCCTTGGTTCAAGCGTTGAACATAAACTGAAACCCACAGTCCAGTGGTTATCAAATTTGGGGCTGAGTCAGTGCCAGATTACAAAGGCACTAGCCACTCATCCTCAAATTCTGGGCCTCAGCGTTGAGCAGAACTTGAAGCCTACCGTGCAATGGTTGTTGGATTTGGGACTGACAAAGAGTCAAGCTACAAAGGCAGTGGCCACTCGTCCTCAAATTCTGGGCTACAGCATTGAGCAGAACTTGAAGCCTACCGTGCAATGGTTGTTGGATTTGGGGCTGACAAAGAGTCAGACTACAAAGGCAGTCGCAACTTATCCCCAATTTTTGGGCCTTAGCGTTGAGCAGAACTTGAAGCCTACCGTCCAATGGTTGTTGGACTTGGGACTGACAAAGAGTCAAGCTACAAAGGCAGTGGCCACTTTTCCTACAATTCTGAGCTACAGTATTGAGCAAAACTTGAAGCCTACTGTTCAATGGTTGTTGGATTTGGGGCTGACAAAGAGTCAAGCTACAAAGGCAGTGGCCACTTTCCCTAGAGTTCTGAGCTACAGTATTGAGCAAAAATTGAAGCCTACAGTGCAATGGTTGATTGATTTGGGGCTGACAAAGAGTCAAGCTGCAAAGACAGTTGCAGCTTTTCCCCAATGTCTGGGCCTTAGCGTTGAGAAGAAGTTACAGCCCACTGTTCAATGGTTGTTGGACTTGGGACTGACAAAGAGTCAAGCTGCAAAGGCAGTGGCCACTTGTCCTCGAATTCTTAGCTGCAGCATGGAGCAGAACTTAAAACCCACTGTTCGCTGGTTGCTACGATTTGGGGTCGAAAAACGCAAACTTGCATCTCTAATAATAGGTTGGCCTCGTTTCTTGGGATACAGTATTGCAAAGAATCTTGATCGAAAGGCTCTTTTGCTAGAGACCTTGTGTACCCGAAAAGGGGCCAGGGAAATCATTTCGAAAAACCCTGAAATCCTTCGCTTCAGCCAGCAGCGGATTGCTACCCGAATGAGCGTCCTCTCAAAGCTGGGTGGGACCTCGAAGGCGAATTATGCAGTGACGTTGTCGGATGAGAGGTTTGAACAACGCTTCATGTCCCAAGTTGGTAGCTGATGTCTTCCAGTGGAGGATGAGGACACTGGCCCGGAGGCATGAAGGTGATGGTGGCTGGTTGTCATCACCCGCGGCAGCGTGGCGTCAACGAAAAAATCGTCAGTCAGCTTTGTGGGTCCGGACCATCCCAACATTGCTTACCACGAAACCATCTTATCCTTGCTTTCTTGAAGGTGATTTGGTTTCTTTAGCCAATGGGAGATCCATTACTTGGGGAATCCATAGGGAATCTATAGGGAAACCACGAAGAGATGCTTGAGGCGAAGCTTGCCCCAGGGGCTCACTTTGGAGGTGCCGCAGAGCCAATTTTCACACGGGCAGTGGCCCAAACCCCTTGTTGATCGATGACCAATAGGGGGTTCTACTGGGTAGTTTAATGATGTTTAATGTTTAATTTTCTTTTTGCAATTCATGTTTTGGGAATCCCCATGAACCAAGCGGTAGAACTAATTCTTAGTCAGGTTCCTGACTCATGCTCGCATGATCTTGCGCTATAATTTACTGTATGGGAAATCTATGGAAATCTGCTATACATGGGCCTTTGAAAGGAACAGTCATCTAGAATTGGGGGATTTTGCAGCACTCCATGTTTGATTACCAGAGGGTATACTACATGGGGCCTATGAACATCCATTTACCACCTAAATTTCGCTGTGAACAGAAGGGTACCAGGCTTTTGAACCAGAACCATATTGGGCCAACAACCCAAGATGGAATCCATCCATTGCTTCGTGGAAACTCGTCTTCTCAAGTCGATTTTTATTCAATGGAAGGGGAGCAGCGGTTGTGTGATCATATCCAGATGGCTACAGCGGTTGACCATGGGGCAAGTGATGTTTGGAATGCCATCCATGCAACGATTTTTTTGGACCCCCCAAAATCCACGGGAATGCTATGATCGGCACATGGAACACCAGTTCTACTGGTTTCCAACCAAACACGTTGATGAAACCAATGGATCATAGATGCAATTTAATCATATTTAATCAACAAAAATCATCAACAGTGGCGATAGAACCAAGCTAAACGGGGATTTACATCAGGGATTTTGATGGATTTTGAGGTTACTTGTGACCAAGAACTCACCAAATCTGCGATCCATTTCAAGAAACTCCGTGTGTTGAGCCTTCTGAGGAAGAGAATCAGCACATTCCACGGGTTTCGAAGCAGCTGAAAGCCCCCAGTCGCCGGTCAAAACTTGGGCTTTGAAGGTTCAGTTATACAGTTGAACCACCCCATGCTTGATCGGCGAATATCCCGATACTGCATCAGTATCTATAGGACTAGACGTGATATATCATCATGTTTGTTGGTGTCATCACATTTTCACTAGTTAAAACCATATTCTCCCATTCCGCCTAATAAATTAGATAAACCCCCAAACGAAGCCCTGATTGTTAGTATATGTTAGTATTGGATCTATGCATTAAGGGGACCACGATTGAGGAACGTCCACTGCATCCCTGCCACGGCTGCCTGCGCACTCCAGGCTCTGCAGGCCGAAAACTTGAGGCTCAAGGAGCAGGTGCAGTTGGAGGATTTTTTTTTTTTAATGGAAGGATTTTCCAACATATTTTTCCCAAGGGATTCCGTATTATCATCCTTTATAGGGACAAAATGGGTGTAGTTACCTTGAGATTGTTCCAAGGGATTATCATTATTTGTTAGGGCCATTGACATATGGCAATTTTGGGGTTATTTTTTTCGGATTTGAGTATAGTCAGTATAGTGAATTTTGGTGTGTAGCCCACCTTTTGGGGAGCTTATGTTGTGATTGTTTCATTTAAGAGCCAGGGGACTGCAAATAGGTTGTTCCATTGTTCGAAGGCAGGAAGGGTATCCAATTTCTCCCGCCTAGATACTTTGTTGGGTTGTAGCTACACATCAATGGGGGTAAGTGGGAGTTGATTGAGACAATAACCAGTTATTTATTTATTTATTTATTTATCTATCTATCTATCTATTTATGTATTTGTAGAGTCCAGTATGATTTTCAAAGATGTCAAAGACGACAAGCCGGAAGTAAAGTTGGATGACGATGGTACCCCATTTTTTGTGGGGTTTGGAAGATAATGTTCATATTGGATATGGAGCCACGAAATTTGGTGATCGGAACCAACTCTGTCACCTCCTTCAAGGTCTGAATTGGGCCTAGAAGATAGTTTGTGGAGCATTGTGACCTTTAAAGGGATAGAACCGTAGTATGCTTTGATTTCCCTGCATTATCATTGTATGTGTTCATATCATATCAGTGTTTTTTCTTTAAACTTTTTGTCATTATCAGTACAGTAGCCATGATAGCAAGCCCCAGAAAGAGGCATTTTTCCGACGCCCAGGTGGAACGCCAACGTGCGGAAATCCAGGCATGGCTGGCCATGAGACGGTTGGAGTTTCCTTGGAGTTTCGATGGGTGGATCCCATGGGTCATTTTGGTGGATTTCGAAGCGGAATATATCACTATTATTGGGGTATAAAATGATGATATAAATTTGGATATCATAAGTATCACTATTATGGGGATGCAAATGGAAAATTCATTACATAATAGAGATGACATGTCTGTATATACCACTGGATGGTGATGGCTGGTGGTAGTAAATGTAGAATAGAGAGATAAAGGGGAGGGCATCCTTGCGTGTTTGCTGGTTTCAAGCATGTTTTTGCACAAAGGCCGGGCCGGCCGGGCCCCCCAAACAGAGAGGATTTGGGTGCTCGAATGCAAAAATGGCTTCAAAAAATGAATGGATTGTTGAATGTTGAAACCAAACAATCCTAGATATTCCCATCCCCCTAAACATTAAACATCCCCCAAAAAATGGTCCCAACTATGTCTAGCCCCTTACTTTTTTACATCTTTTTACCATGGTTTCTGCACCTCGCCACAGGAATTGCGCTCACAAGTGCCTCTTCCCAACGAGCCGATGGCCTCGTATCTAGGTGCGGCTGGCAGGGAGGGCATCCGGGATGGCCAGCTCCCCAAATAGATAGGACACGTCGGAAATATGGAAATATGAAGGTAAATATCTGCACATATAGTCTACACTGTCTATACATGTCTATACCATCCTGGAAGAACTTTTAGGATCTTTTGGGCATTTTTTTGGGTGACAATCATCAAAACAAGGACATAGTTCTAGATGTTCATCCCCACAAGGATGGTCCATAGTTCTGCAACTCTCGCAGGGCGATGTTAAACCCCTGAGATTCTGGGGCTGTTTTTGGGGATCCCAGTAGTTGAATAACTCAGATGATGAACCTGTGAAAAAGAACCCATGTCATAGGGAATACTTCTGTTCCCCAAGCAGTCGAACTCATTTCTCCCATGTCCTTCGGATCAGTGAAGAGTGGTCATTTCGAGCAAACAATTGTCTTGTCCTGTTTCTGAGTTGATCGTGTGCTTCGATTTGATACATTCTGAGCATATTCCAAGTATGGTAACTTGCATTACATCATCCTCCGCATCGTTTCAGGTTAGGTGTTCAGAATAGCTTTCTTTATTCCCTTTGCTGATTGTAAAGCAGTGTGAACGTCCCCCACTGGCATCCATTTCTGCAGTGTTCCACTGGTTGCATACCATTGGATACCCAGTACATTTTGGCACTCGTCTCGCTGCAATAATTCTCACCATCCTTGCATATTCATTTCTGACATGTACAGTTCTTACTGGGGGATTGCGTGTGTGTCAAAAACCCAGCGAAGTCTAGCGGGACATGATCTGTTCCTATCATGTTCTATCTTGTGTTGTGGATTCTTACCTCATCGGTATGTACCATTATGTACCTATGATCTGTTGTTTGATCATTGGTAAGAATATGATCATTGTTCCAATACCCCCATGATCTGTTCCTATCATTTGCCATCTTTGTTCCATCCTATCTTCATCGGTTCCATTTCCTCATTTTGGGAGGATCGGAAGCCCCAAAAATCCTGAGATCCGCAGGTCTGAGTATTCCGCAGGTGAGGAGTACAACCCCCGTGAAGGCGGGGGTGGATGATGGCAAAACCTTGGAATTTAGAACGAACCAATGTATATCCACACATTTGGATCAATTGTACCTATCTTAAAATGGGAAAAAATAATAATGTGTGGATCATTGGATCATTGTTTGGTTTTCCAGAAATTGTACTACAGTTATATTGATATAGTAGATATAGATGATGTAGATGATGATGCTGTCATTATTGATATATAGTAGATTTATTTCAGTTCAACCTTCATTTAATGACAGTATCATCTATATATCCAGAGAAACTCTTGGAATTCACCAAGATCCGGTATGCCTAATGCCATAAGCCATTGCCTCTGGACAGGCGCAGGCCTATGGTGTACCTGCAGCCAGGTGCGCTTGTTGGGGAATACGAACTTGGATGAGAAACCAAATTTCTGGATCAAGTTCTGATCAACATAAAGCACCTTATTAAAGCACTGCTTTGGGGATCAGAACTTCACACTTTAAAGCACGTTTTTTGTATTTTGTATTTTGGTACCTGGATTCAACATCAAAAATCGACAAAAACGGCTGTCGCATATTCCTGTTGGATTCTTTGGAGCCTCAAAGTCCCGAACGAAATGGCGGTTTTAATGAAGAAATCAGCTCTGAACGTAGGATTCGTTTGATCACCGGAGGATAGTGGATAGCAAAATTAGTTTTTTTGCTTTACGGTAATTAATAGATCCAGGCATCTAAGATAAACGTCCGTAGACTCTACATGACTGAGATTGCGACCGCATTCAAGGTGATGGCAGTTCATCCTAGGATTCCTAAGGACTTGTGTAACCAGGGTGAGTAATCTTCGCCTCCCGTCATCAGGAGCCTTTAGCTGACTTAGCGAGCAGGTGGTTGATGTTGATCATCCCAAGTAATGTGGGTACACCAATAATAAACCACCCAATTTCACCATAAATAGCTGGTATGTTTACCTTTCCCAGTCATGGGTGGTAAACATGGCAGTGTTTTTCCCACATTCCTACTATCATCAGGTCGTTGGATCCTGTGTCGTTTCAAGGCGTTGCCATGTGCTTTTCCAGGATTCAGCCATGAAATGTTGGTGAACCATCCCAACTTCCGGTGGTTGCAATACCTCGACGGCATGAAAAAAGCACCATTTTCGATGGGGAAAACGAGGAGGAACCAGATTTCGTGGTGGTTTCCAGGAGTTTCCCACCATTTTTCAGGTACGAAACCCACCGATCTCCCTGGCACCGATCTCACGGAGGAACTTCTTGGTGGCGGCTCCCTGCAACGGTGCGGAAGCTCAGGGATCCCTTTGGGTCGATGACCATTTTATTGGGTATGATGTCGGGAGGTAAAACCAACTTGATATGATTATGATATCTGAGTTATTGATCTGTTATTTTTTTGGATACCATGATTATGATAGCTGGGAGGTAAAACCAATTAACCTTAGGTCAAAACATATCTGTTATTTTTTTTCAGTGGCCAATTGAGGGGAATCTCTTGGGATTATCATGGCTTATCTTTTTGGAATGTACTTTGGTTTCGGTGAAGCAGGAAATCCAAGTTTTGTTTGCTAAAGATGGAGCCTTCCCCACCCTGGAGGTTTCTGGATCCCCAAGTCACCACGGGTTTCAATACGAAAAAGGTTTAATGGCCTACCCCCGATGAAAACAAACCGGGGTACCCCCTGTTTTTTGCTCAAGTTCCCCGGAGCCCATGGAGCCCGAACCGAAACGGCCAAGAGTGGAGACGGCGGCGCCGCTGCCAGAGGAGGTCGCGGAGGTCGCGGTGAAGTTTCAGGCTCAAACGTTGAGGGGACTCTTGTGAGCTGTACAAAGTTGGAGGATTTTCATGAAGATTATTAAAGACTGAGTAATCATCATGAATCCAACTTACATTGATTGACTTCTTGTAGTTTTATAACCTTGCAAGCTGAGAAGAATCATTTTGCTTGGTACATTGAATCACTTGTACAGTAGCGTTGTTCAGTATTATAGGTCGGCACCTCATGTGACAACAAAATGGATTACATATGGACTATGTGAGGATTATAACATATTAGAAATATTTATGGGACAAAGTAGGGATTATGAGGATATAACGATATCTATCCCACCATTGTCATGCGGATGATCTGGATCAACCATCACGACCTATCAGCGGACCTCTCTGGCGACGTCAATGGAATCATGGTGAACTTTGAAGGGGAAGCATACAGCACTATCCCCAGTTGAGAGGTCATTTATACTATGTACATAGCTGGAAGAATAGGGTAACACCAAGACAGAATGGTTGGTTCTTTTGGAGAATTGTGAATTGTGAGGCTCCGTTTTTTTTTGTGACTCAAACAAACATGCGATTCTTTGCCTTCTGTCCAGGTATCCTTGCCAAGTGGCCGCTGTGAAGATGTCTCGGTCGCCACCAGCGACACGGTATGTGAAGTGAAAGTGGCTGCACAAGAGGCCTTCGGCCAACCCTTCCTGAAACTTGCGGGGGCTGATGGACGCCTCCTAAATCCAAGGGAATCTCTCCAAGTTGCCGGGCTGAAAGATGGAGATTGCATTGCTGCTATTGCACAGCAGCCAAAGATAGCTGCAACACACTCAGCCTTTGCAGTGTGGTGTGTCGGAGGTCAAGTTGTCACCTGGGGTGACCCCAACTTAGGTGGTGACAGCACCGCCGTCCGGGATGAGCTCAAGAACGTTCAGGAGGTTTGTGCCACAGGTTCAGCGTTTGCTGCGATGTTGGCTGATGGCTCCGTGATTACATGGGGCGATCCCGAGACTGGCGGTGACTGCAGTACAATAACAGGTCAGCTCCGGAATGTGCGCCAGCTTCATGCTAATTTTGGGGCTTTTGCTGCCATTCTAGCAGATGGAACCGTAGTGACATGGGGTGATCCAACGTCTGGTGGCGTCAGCACAGCTGTCCAGGGCCAGCTCCAACATGTCAAGTATATCCATGCCACAGACAGTGCCTTCGCTGCAGTTTGTGACAGTTGCCAAGCTACCTCCTCGCGGTCGTCACGGGCACCATGTGTGGTGGCGAAAGCTTGGCAGAAAAATCAGGCCTGTTTGTATCGGCCCTCAGTTGCACTCCTATGCATACTCTTGTGGTTTTGCACTTGCAGTTGTGCGCAAGCAACAGAAATCCAGAGTGATATTGATGTGACAGGTGGGTTTCCCCAGCTTTTGTCACTGAATTACAATGCAACTGCACAGATGTCCAGTGATGCGATGAACTCAGACTGTGGGTTTTCCTATTTCTCTGTTTTCCACATACTCGCTTTCTGTGCCTTTCATATGATGCGCGGTATTTGCATGCTAGCGATGCCAACAATCCATGCCTGGAGCGCCAAGCTTGCCATGAGTTTGGTGTATGTGATTTTGCGTTTGCTGTCCCAATCAGAGCCCGTAGCCTGTGTGAGACAAGCCCATGAAGGAAATTATTTGCACAAACAGACGAGCCGACATAGGAATGCAAGGCCAACAGCGCGCCCTTTCTCCATGCCTGCCGAAACAGTCTGTGCCAAGATACGTAGGGTTTTTGCCAAGTGTTTCCATAGAAACATACCACGCCAAAAGAGAATCCCGAGCGCAGCGCGCAAAGCTGGTCGCCAGAGAGTGAAAGGGCCCAGGCAACACTGGAAATTTTGGTGGCGCCGACGGCTGAAATTAATTCAACATGAGCCCAAACAATGTTCTGTTTTCCGTTTGCTTTTGATGACAAGCGTTGCATGCATGTTTTTGCCATGGTGCTGGCGCGTTCCCTTTGCCAGCATTAGCATGAAAGGTGTTTTCCTCGCTCTCTCCTCCTTCCTCAGTTGGCCATGTCGTGTTTTGCGTCTTTGTCCAAGGAAGAATGAGATTGCCTCGCGAAGAAAAACCAAAGCACAAGTCAAGCCCCCGGAAGTGAGCATGTCACACCATGTGCCACGCGTGGGACTCAATACTATGTTCCGGGGTGGGGGTGGTAGAGGTAGTGCCAAGATCACTGCCTACAGGAAAGAAGAGAACGATGAAACTGCTCTGCTTGAAGCGCTAGCCGGACTTTTGAGCAATTTTTCAAATGCAAAACAGCACTCCGGTCAGAAGCAAGAGAGCCAGCAATTTGCACAGCCAACACCAAAAACCAAATCTAATGCCAAAGGAAAAGGAACCAGCGCAGCATCTGCAGCTGACCAAGCACATGACACGCCTGAAACGGGTCTTTTACGATCACTTGAGAGAATCATCGAACGAGCCAAGCGCGAACCAGGAACCCTCCTCAAGAGGCTCACTTCTCTGGTTAGCACGGCTACGCAAAATATCAACAAAAAGCAGAAAAACCAACAGTGGAACAAGGCAAAGCAGATGCCCGGACCCACTGAGGCCACACATGAGCCGCCCAAGAAAAAGATGAAAGCGTCACCTGGCATGTCGCCAGAAAACAGCTCAACAGAAAACACCACGAGACAAACATCTCAAAAACGCCCAGCTGAGCAGACATGGGCAGATGTAGTGAAAAACAAGCCTAACTCACCTGAGAACGGTAAGGGCAAAGGTCAGAACAAGTCAGCTGATAGAAGCAATAAGTCGCCCAACGCCCGAATCCGAACCAATCCGACTCAGAATGCAAAGCCAGTTGCATTATTGGAAGGTGCGTGGGAAAAAGGCGCTCTTATTTCTTTTACAGATGCAAAAAGACAATTGGAAGCCGGACAGTCGCCGACTGGCAGCGCCACTCTGTGCCAGAATCTGGGACAGGTTCAAGATCTGCAAAGACTTGCAAAACTGCACAATCTCCCAGAGAAACCTTTTGCACTTGTTTGGACCCCCGGTCCGGAGACGGTGGCTGACTCAAAATTAGGCTATTTGCCCACCATTGCGCAGGGTCGAGTAACTTTGCACCAGTTCCGCATTCTGCCTTTGCTAAAGACATTACCCAAGGTACCGCTGCAAACGGCACGTGCCACCGATGTCTCCGCTGATAGCCATGCTTTGTCAACTTTTCGAGTTACTGTCCCTAAGGCCATGATCTCGAGAGACTTGTGGGAGACCATCCTGCGGAATCCAAGGAGCCATGCCCAAAAAGTGTTTGGGGAGCGAGTTGTGCATTCAACTTATGGATGGAAAGAAGTCAAGTTTGTCAACAAAAAGCAGCAGGAGCCCGAGACTCTTTTGCAGGGTTTCTTGCGCTCACAGGAAAAATCCATCGATCAGATCACAAAATTGAGTGGCAAAGACGGCCTGTTTGTTGATAAACTCAATACTGAACAGAGCAGAAGACCGAACATTTGGTGGATTCAGATCAAAGAAGGTGAAACCATGAGCTCATATTTTACCCGGGCGCATGCTGAAGCCAAAAAAGAAAATTCCAGCTTATGTTTTCGCAAGGGTGGCAGCACATGTTTGGGTCTTCGTCTCCAAGAAAACAAGCACATGCCACAGCTACATGCATGGACCCTCCACGGCGCTCCCAAGCATTGGTTTGGACAAGATGTCATGCAATGCTTGTTCGATGCAGGCTGCCAAGAGGCTGCTATCATAAATCCCCCAGGACGCCACAGGTCTTGGTTAATCAAAGCAGTCGTGCCAGATGAGAATAGCCTGGGTGTGGTTGCAATCCATGCAGGCACACGGGTTCTGTATCTCAACCGTGTCCAGAACAAGAAACGCCGCTCTCCGGAAGTTGTGTCTGTCATCCGGTCGGCATATCAAGCTCAATGCACACAGGTGACTAAACCTGAGGCAGAAAAACAAAGGCAGGAGCTGGCTAGAGAACGCAGCCGCTCTCCCAACAAGGATGCCGCCAAGGATAAACCCAAAGAGAAAGAGAAAGAAAAATCCAAAGAAGCGGGCCCCTTTGGCCCTTTCATGGACAAAGTGACATCGCTCGATACCGGAGGCGGCGGTAATTGCGGCTACACTTGCCTGGCAGCTGCGCTGGCTCTCGACAAGGGAGAATCGATCGAACAGGTGAAGGGCGATCTACCAGCACGTGCCAGAACAATCAGACATGACTTATATAAACATTTGGATAAGTATGCTTCTGAATATCAAGAATATTTTGTCCCAGCAGAACCTGAGGAAACCATTGATGCAGGCCCTTCCCCCACCACATGGGAAGAATACTTGGAATGCACACTCAGGGAAGGACGGTGGATCGACGGTCTCAGTTTGAGGGCGGCAAGCAAACGCTATGGTATGCACATCATTGTCATTCCCTTGGAAGGAGAAGAGAAAGACAAACCCATGGCTTTTGGAACGCCCCGGTCAGGGAGAGAGCCCATCGTACTGCTACTCAAC